TCTTTGAATTTTTTTTTAATGGGAAAAATGTATTTTTTGATGGAAGATTTTCGTTAGAAATTTTTCTTAATCAGGGATATTTTTTTTGATTGAGAATTTCATTAGAGAATTGTTGGTTGAAAAGTTTATTTATTTTTTTGATGGAGAATTTTGTTAGAAGTCTCAATAGAAAATTTTATTGAAAATAGTTTTTTTTTAATAAGGGTATTGAGAGTTTTGGCTTGAAATTTTTTTTTTAATAAAGAATTTCATTAGGAATCTTTTTTTTTTATAAAAAATTGATTGAAAATTTATTGGAAATTTTTTATTAAATTTTACAATTTTAATAAATTTTTACTCCTCTTCGTCATCCCATAACTTCTTTTAATCTTCCATCGCTCCTTTTCGTCTCCCATCACTCCTTTTCATCTCCCATTGCTTCTTTTCGTCTCCCATCACGCCTCTTCGTCTCCTATCACTCCTTTTCGTCTCCCATCACTCTTTTTTGTCTCCCATCGCTCCCTTTCGTCACCCATCACTCCTCTTCGTCTCCCATCACTTCTTTTTGTCTCCCACCACTCCTCTTCGTCTTTCATCACTTCTTTTTGTCTCCCATCACTCCTCTTAATCTTCCCATCACTTTTTTTTTTATCTCCCATCACTCCTCTTTGTCTCCAATCACTTCTTTTCATCTCCCATCACTCCTTTTCGTCTCTCATCATGTCCTATTTCTCCTTTTTGTTTCCTATTACTTCTCATTACTCTTTTTTACTCCCTTTCATCTTCTATTACTTTCCATTACTCCATTGTTATTTTATTTTTTTATTAGCATTTTTTTCCTTGATCATTGTAATTTACTTATCTTTTTTATTTCTTGTTATTGTTTCTTTTATTTGTACACTTCAATAAAAATAAATATGGTGATTTTTTTCTTTAAAATCGTAAATGTGACTTAAATTTTAATATTTGTAAATAAAATTTAATTAAATAAGATATTTTGAATAAATATATTTGCAAAAAATTTTTTTTAAAAAATATCTTTTTAATAATAACCGATCAAAAATTAGATATTACATATATATTTGAAAAAAAAACCCCAGGCGATGATCGCCCAGGCAATCCCAATTTTTATTTATTAAAAGTATTTAAAATAGTAGATTTTCAAAAATGTTTCCAATTAATGATAAAAAGAAAAAACACTTCAAACAAATTTCTGCTATATACTTTTCTTAAAGTTAACATTATTAACTTTTTAATTTATGTCGGCTCATGCGGAGCTTTACTAGTATATAAAATTTGCTTAATTTACT